TACTACTTAAACTACTACTCTTCTACCAGTCCTTCATCACCTTAAACAAGATTGGGTGAATACATCTCATATTACTGATTTACTGGTAGTCACGAAAACAATACTTAATTAGAAAAATACTTAAAAGGGTTTTCTAGGCTACCAGTGAATATGATGTAAGAGCTGTATTTACTTGAGTTTGTTTAAGAAAAGGCATGACTGGTAGTTGGGTTTTAGCAAAATAAGACCAACTCATATGATTGTGGCAAAATTGAACTACCATAAACGAAACCGGGTGAACACAACTCTTAACTAACAGGTAACCCAGAATAATTCTATGGAGGGATACTTCAAAGCCCGGATTTTCTTTATTTTTCACAATCGGCAAACATAGGACAAGATTTTATTCAGGAATTGTTGCTACTTTCGAAATCTGCTCAAATTGAAAGAAGGCAAAACCTTTCGTATTTTGATACTTTTGATGCTTCAATCGGGAAGCACTCGATTATTATGCCTCTCTTCAGTTATACTCAAGACCAAACTTTCATTTAGGCCCAATTGGTCGTTGTTTACAGCCTAGTGGTTAGTCAAAATTATACCCTGTGCCAACGTAATCTGGGTTCGAGTCCCGCTGCGGGTGCCGATGAGACCAGTTTTGGGGAAGGTGGAGACTGCAGCCCACTTCAGCTGGGATGATAATAACTTACGGGAAATAGGACCATGTGCAATTTAGGGAAAACATGAAGCCGACCCAAAGTTATGTTGACTTGGTTGGAAATAATTCATGTAATATTCTCACCAGGAACCGAAAAAGGGATTGCTGCGCGGTGAGGTTTTGTCGGATTGTGCCTAGTAGTCTGTAGGATCGCAAAACGGTGAGCCGATGACGTCTTGGCACAATCCAAAAGTCTTTGCTGTTGCTGCACAACAAGTGATACCATTTCACGAATTCCTTCCAGCCAACTCTGAAGCCTATTCATGAGATTGTGGGAAAATGCAACTACTAGTCGTTCATTGGCTGAAACGAAATCGGTTCTACTGTCAGTTTGGGGAGCCTTTTCATCAAACGAAAAATAAGTACATGAGATGTTTTCACCTTATTTCGTTTAAGCTGATGGTAGTTGGATTTTCCCACAATAATATTATTCGAGCTGACGTTTTATTGAATTTCACATGGCCTTGTTTACTCAAAAGTTGTTCTCATCAGCATCATCATCATCATCATCATCATTTTAAACTAAATATGGTGGATATATCTCATAAAATGGATTAACTGGTGGTTTCGAAGCTCTGCTTTTAAACGAAAAATAAGTACATTTTTCTACAGCTTAGCCGTCCGCCATGTGAGAGAAGGCGATTTTTCCCATGGACTTTCCAAATTACACTTGCACCACTTAAAGCCAACAAAATTATGCTATATCCATCAGTTTCTGTATAATTTCACTTTTACTCGTGAGTATAATAGGTGTGAAGAAAAACTGGGTTTCAAAGACTTTCTCAGTTAAATATTGCAACATGACATTACATTTCCCTGCTTTATGAAATAGAGTAAAAATATATATTTAACTGAGAGAAACACAATACCTACGCGGTAATCCTCCTTCGGTTTCCGGTGAGACTTCATCTCAAATTCTTTCAATCCAACGTTCCCTTTAAAATGAAAAGTCCTGTCGTAATGGGTATATG